CAATCGATTCATCTTCTTCAGCCGTTTTCAATATAGGAACACCCCAAAAACAGACCTCATCCCAACGTCATCCCTCTCTAAAACAAAACTAGCAACAACCAACGTTCACATGTTCCGCCATGAATGGCCACCCCTAAGAGAAAATCTAGCCACTCTCACTTCAGCTTCCTCATTCGAGATGTTGCTTTGCCGGAATTGATCACCGGCGAGTGACGACGCCACTAGCGACGGATCTAGCTGGAAACCCCAAAAACACAGCCGTGATTCTATCACATATACAAAAAAAGAAAAATATTCTAGTTTTTTTCTTCCATTTTTCTGACTTTCACCTCAAAAATCAGAGTTGTTGTCCTCTGATTTTCGTTCCAGAATGAAGGTCATTTGATGTCGTGTATGGCTTCAAATTTTCTTGTACCGATTCAAGGTTCTGTCAAGGTCCGTGTTCGAGAGTCCTGTCCAATTTGAGTTCCGATCGTGGTTGTGGTTTGTTTCCATCCGTGTAACTGCTGGAATTTTTATTAATTGAAGGCAACTTGAGGTTCAATTCTTTCCTCTTTCATTCTATTCTAATATCGAGTTTGATATGTTTGAGACCTCTTTCTATGGTTTTGTTTGATCCTTGTAGTTGTAAATCTCCCACGTTGAATTAACTGAAAGTATCCCTAGCAGGTGTCCACATTGGAATTGGTCTTTAATCGTTCAAGTAAAAGAATGCATACCAATTATGTGACTTCTACTTATTTGTTAATGTGGATCGATACTCAGAATTCTAATGGTGTATGAGTACCATTCTATTTATCTAGCTCATTTTATGGTTTCTGAAACAATTATGCTAAAAGCTTATCATCTTAGACATTCTTATTAGACAAGATGTTCCTTTCCCATATTGAAAATATTGTGTGATTGGTAAAACGTGGTGATGGAACATTTATTGACCGGAAATAAGTATATGAATTGATCGAATATAAGTATGAATCAAAGTACGCGTTCGTGCAATTTTGGACGAAACAATCTTAATAATAATAAAATGCTATAAATCATGTATACGATCTCTTGACACGAGTATGATTTAAAGAATGAATATTCTTAGAAAAATGGATTGTCACCAGAATACTTTATGCTAAAGATGTATTAGCTACTGTCTGCAAAGTCTTTGTTTTGTTTCTGTAGTTTTATGACAAGTTTCCAGGATTCTTGAGCTCTTGTAAGTCTTAAAACACATTTGAACTATAAGGAAGAAGACTTAATTTTTGTGGTGACCCAAAAGTTCATCACTTAATTTAGAAATGAATTCTGCATTCCGAGGCCTTAAACCCTCTTTTTGCATCACCTCAATTTGCGTGCGCAGTCCAGGCGTGTAGTCGAAAAGTTAATATGTGAACATCTGTGAAAAATGATGAATTTTGACTTTAAAATGAATTTAAGTTGACTTCAGTCAACACTTTGGGTAAATGGATCCGGACCCATGATTTGACGGTTTCGGAGGGTTTGTAGGAAAATATGGGACTTGGGCGTATGCCCGGAATCAAATTTCGAGGTCCCAAGCCCGAGAAATGAATTTTTGAAAGAAATTATTTTGCTAAATTAATTATGAAGTAAAGAAGAGAATTTATGTATGAAACCATTGGTATTGGGACCGTATTTTGGTTTCGAAGCCCGGTACAGGTCTTATATATAATTTGAGTTGAACCTGTGAAATTTTGTAAGAAACGGACTTGAAATGATATGAATCGAACCTTATTTGGAAAAATTGGAAAATTTGATGTTCTTAAGAAAATTTCATGTTTTTGATGCTAAATTCATAGTTGTTGATGTTATTTGAGAGATTTGAATGCACGAGTAAGTCTGTATGATGTTTTTAGGTTGGTGTGTATGTTTGGTTTGGAGCCCCGAGGGCTCGGGTGAGTTTTGGATAGGCCACGGAGTAGAATTGGACTTAGGAAAAATGCAGGTTTCAGCTGTTCTATTGCAGGCTTGCAGGCTGCCTCGCAAATGCGAGTTCGCAAATGCGAACTAGCCCAGGCCAGCCTTCTCTTGCAAATGCGAGTTTTCCATTGCAAATGCGATGTTCCCCATTTTGGCCAGTCGTCGCAAATGCGACATAATGTTCGCAAAAGCGACTTCGCAAATGCGAAGGTCACTTTGCAAATGCGATAACAGCCGAGTCTGGGTTCGCAATTGCGATACCTTCCACCTGTAAATTTACACTTAGATGAATTTTCAACCATTTTTCATATCTTCTCAAAACATAAACTCTCTTGGGCGATTTTCCAAAGAAAACTTCTTCTCCAAATCAATTGTAAGTCGTTTGTAACCATTTTTCTTCAATCTTTAACATCTTTTCACATGATTTTAACTCAAAATCAGTGATTTTCATGGGGGAAATTGAGTGTTTCGGGTAGAACCTAGGTTTTTCAAAAATTGGGGATTTGGACCTCGATTTGAGGTCCGGTTTCAAAACAAATAATATATTTGGATTAGTGGGGGAATGGGTATCCGTTTTTGGTTCGAGCCTCGGGTTTTGACCATGTGGGCCCGGGGACGATTTTGACTTTTTGGGTAAAATTTTGAAAAACTTATTTTTGTGCATTAGAATTGATTTATTTAGCATTTATTGACGTAATTAAGTAACTTGTGGCTAGATACGAGCGAATTGTAGTGGAATCAAGAGGTAAAGCAATAATTGAGACTTGAATTGTGTTAGTAGCATTGAGGTAAGTTTTTGGTATAACCTTAGCTTGAGGGATTAGGAGTCGTGTCTTATTTTCTACATGTTAACTATGGAGTACAGCATATAGGCATGGTGACGAGTATCTATACGTCGGTGTCAGGCATGCCCATGAGTCTTGTATGGTAATTGTTATGACTCTGTTGCGGTTTATGTCATATTTTATTCCCTAACCGGGATGTGTGTTGTGATATTATTGTTCCCTTTTCGGGATGTTGTTGTAATATTATTGTTGCCTTGCCGGGATGTTGTTATATTGCTACTGTTCCCTTGCCAGGATTCTTTTATGATTGGTGCTGATAAATGAAATGGGAGCGGGTTGCACGCCTGCAATGGTAATATGTGAAATGGGAGCGGGTTGCATGCCTGCAACGGTAATATATGAAATAGGAGCGGGTTGCACGTCTGCAACGGTAATATGTGAAATGGAAGCGGGTTGGATACATGCAACGATAATATGTGAAATGGGAGCGGGTTGCACGCCAGCAACGGTAATATGTGAAATGGGAGCGGGCTGCACGCCTGCAACGGTGATATGTAAAATGGGAGCGGGTTGCACGCCTACAAAGGTAATATATAAAATAGGAGGGGGTTGCACGCCTGTAATGGTATCACATGAAATGGGATTGGGTTGCATGCCTGCAACGGTATTACATGTGTACCTATTCTTCTTATTTCCTTATCTTTGCTGGTACTTGATTTATGGCATTCCTTATATTTCCCTACTGTTGTACAGTTGTTATCTGTTACTCCCCGTAGCATCTTTCCGCCACCCAACTTTAGTTGTAATTATCTGTTTCTATTTCTGCTGTATATGATTTAACTGCATAAGTTTATTTGGTAGTTCGGTCCTAGCCTCGTCACTACTTCATCGAGGTTAGACTAGGCATTTACCAGTACATGGGATCGGTTGTGCTGATACTACACTTTGCACTGTGTGCAGATACTGATACCGGAGCGTTTGGACAGCAGTGAGGGTGATGTCTTCAGTCCACACAGGCGATCCGAGGTAGTCCTGCAGACGTCCGCAGGCCTTGGCATCTCCTCCTATCTTTTCTTTTTCTGTTTTTACTTATTCAGAGACAGACTTATGTATTTCATTCAAACCTTGTTTGTAGTATTCTTAGACAGTCTGTGACTTGTGACACCAAATTCTGGATAGTTTTGTACTTCAAATTATGTAGCAGTGTTTGGTTGGAATATTAAGTTTTGGCTTCCGCATTTCCGATTGTTTAATCTTATCCTGTTGTTTAATCACTTAGTATTTTACATTGTTTAATATGCTTAATAAAAAGGGAGATGAATTTGCAATATTCGGCTTGCCTAGCTTCCACGAGTAGGCTCCATCACGACTACCGAGGGAGGAAAAATTTGGGTCGTGACAAGTTGGTATCAGAGCTCTAGGCTACTTAGGTCTCACAATTCATGGACAAGCTTAGTAGAGTCTGAGGGATCGGTATGGAGACGTCTGTATTTATCCCCAGAGGCTACAGAGTTAGGAAAAACTTCACATCTATTCTTCTCTATCGTGCGATTTTGTTCTCTCACTGCTAAATTGAACCCTCTACTCATGTTCTTTCACGAATGGTGAAGTCTCGTACCGCTTCTTCAGCCGAGCGGTAGCTTAGACCGGTGATGGATCAACTACATCTTCAGAGGCCTTGTGGAGGTTGGACAGATTAACCAAGCTCTTCACTATCACTTTCAGTTGTGCATCTTCTGAGGATCCCCAGGATTATTTAGATAGCTGTCATGAGGTTCTCAGGAATATGGGGATAGTGGAGACCAATGGGGTCGACTTTGATACTTTTTGATTATCTGGATCTGCTAAGACTTAGTGGAGGGATTATTGTTTGGCTAGACCAATTGGGTCACCAGCTTTGACTTGGGATTAGTTTTCTCGGCTATTTCTAGAGAAGTTTCTTCCTAGCACTCAAAGAGAGCTTTATCGGAGGCAGTTTGAGCGTCTCCAACAGGGTTCTATGACTGTTACTCAATACGAGACTAGATTTATTGACTTGGTCTATCATGCTCTTCTTATACTTCCCATTGAGAAAGAGAGTGGGGAGGTTCATTGAGGGACTCATTCAGCCTATTCGACTTCAGATGGCTAAGTAGACGGGGAGTAAGATTTCCTTTCAGGATGCAACCAATGTGGATAGGAGAGTCGAGATGGTTCTATCATAAAGGGGTGGTTAGGGGTCTGACAAGAGACCTCGTCATTCAAGCAGATTCAATGATGCCTCGTCTGGAGGCAGTCATTCTTTTGGTAGAGGCCATCCTCCTAGGCCCTTTCAGTCAGCACTTCAGGTTTCTCACAGTGCTTCAGGTGGTCGTGGTTCTCATATGCAGTATTCCGACCAGTAGTCCTATAGTGCACCACTAGCTCCTATCAGTGCGCCTTCGCTTCAGAGTTTTCAGGCTCGTCAGCCCCAACAATCGAGGGCTTGTTTTACTTGTGGCGACATGAGGCACATTGCTAGATATTGCCCTCGAGCACCAAGCGGTTCTCAGCAGCAGGGTTCCCGTGCTATGGTACAAGCACCAAGTGCTCCACCGCTAGCTCCGCCAGCTAGGGGTGGGGTTAGAGGTGCTAGAGGTGGAGGTAGAGGTATTAGAGGTGGAGGTCAGGCAGCTAGAGGTAGAGGACATCTAGCAGTAGGATGTCCCAGAGATATAGTTTAGGGTGGTGGGGCCCAGACCTGATGTTATGCTCTTCCAGCCAGACCTGAGGCTGAGGCTTCCAATGCAGTTATCACAGGTACTGTTCTAGTTTGTAGTAGGGATGCTTCAGTGTTATTTAATCCAGGGTCTACATACTCCTATGTGTCATCTTATTTTGCACCATATCTAGTCATGCCTAGTGATTCTTTGAGTGCTCCTGTATATGTGTCTACATCATTGGGTGATTCTATCATGGTAGATCATGTCCATCTTCATGTGTAGTTGTGATTGGGGATGGATTAGTTATCACCTTACCACACGATTTTGGACTGTCATGCCAAGACTGTGACCGTAGCCTTGCCGGGATTGCCTCATTTAGAGTAGAGAGGGACTCCTAGTCATTATACCCATAGTGTTATCTCATATATGAAGGCTCGGCGTATGGTCGAGAAGGGGTGTTTGGCCTATTTGGCATATGTACGTGATTCTAGTGCTGAGGTTCCTTCTATGGATTCTGTGCTTGTTGTTCGTGAGTTTCCTGATGTACTTCCTTCAGACCAACCGGGTATGCCACCCGACAGAGATATTGACTTCTACATTGATTTGGCTCCGGGCACTCAGCCCATTTCTATCTCGCCGTAACGTATGTCCCCGCCTGAGATGAAAGAATTAAAGGAGCAATTGCAAGACCTGCTTGAGAAAGGCTTCATTAGACCTAGTGTATCGCCTTGGGGTGCGCCGGTGTTGTTTGTTAAGAAGAAGGATGGATCGATGTGAATGTGTATAGATTACCGGCAGTAGAACAAGGTTACAATCAAGAATAAGTATCCATTGCCAAGGATTGATGATTTGTTTGATCAGCTTTAGGGTGAAAAGGTATTTTCGAAGATTGACTTGAGATCTGGCTACCATCGGTTGAGGATTAGGGCGTCTGATGTCCCTAAGATAGCTTTCTGCACTCGGTATGGGCACTATGAGTTCTTGGTGATGTCATTTGGGTTGACAAATATCCCAGCAACTTTTATGGATTCGATGAACTGAGTTTTCAGACCTTACTTGGATTTATTCGTGATAGTCTTCATTGATGACATTTTAATTTATTCCCGCAGCCGGGAGGAGCATGAGCAACATCTGAGAGTTGTTCTTCAGACCTTGAGAGATAGTCAGTTATATGCTAAGTTTTTGAAGTGCGAGTTTTAGTTGGGGTCAGTTGCTTTCTTGGGTCATGTGGTATCAGTAGAGGGTATTCAGGTAGATCCGAAGAAGATAGATGTAGTCAAGAACTGGCCTAGGCCCATATCAGCTACGGAGATCCAGGGTTTTGTGGGTTTGGTAGGCTATTATCGTCGGTTTGTGGAGGGGTTTTCATCTATTGCAGCCCCGATGACTAGGTTGACCCAGAAGGGTGCACACTTTAGGTGGTCGGACGAATGTGAGGTGAGCTTTCAGAAGCTCAAGACAGTTTTAACTACGATGACAGTGTTGGTTTTACCCACAGGTTCAGGGCCATATACAGTTTATTATTATGCATCTCGTATTGGACATGGTGCGGTGTTGATGCAGGATGGCAAGGTCATTGCTTATGCTTCGCGTCAGTTGAAGATTCATGAGAAGAACTATTTGGTCCATGATTTGGAGTTAGCAGCCATTGTTCACGCATTGAATATTTGGAGGCATTATCTATATGGCATGTCATGTGAGGTGTTCACGGATCACAAGAGTCTACAGTATTTGTTCAAGCAGAAGGAGCTAAATTTGAGGCAGAGAAGGTGGTTGGAGCTATTGAAAGACTATGATATCACCATCTTATATCATCTGGGAAAGGCCAATGTGGTGGCCGATGCTTTGATAGGAAGTCAGCCAGTATGGGCAGTCTTGCGTATATTCCGCTCGGTGAGAGACCGCTCGCTTTGGATGTTCAGGCTTTGGCCAATCAGTTTGTAAGGTTGGATGTTTCTGAGCCCGGCCGTGTGTTATCTTGCACAGTCGCTCGTTCTTCATTATTGGACCTTATCTGTGATCAGCAGTATGATGATCCCCATTTGTGCGTCCTAAGAGACACGGTGCAGCACGGAGGTGCCAAGCAGGTTACCTTAGGAGATGATGGAGTTCTGAGATTGCAGGGTCGAGTTTGTGTGCCTAATGTGGATGGACTCCGATAGTTGATTTTAGAGGAGGCCCATAGTTCCCGGTACTCTATTCATCTGGCTGCCGCTAAGATGTATCAGGATCTGCGGCAGCATTATTGTTGGCGGAGGATGAAGAAGGACATTGTTGCTCATGTGGCTCGGTGTTTGAACTGTCAGCAGGTTAAGTATGAGCATCAGAGGCCCGATGGGTTGTTCCAGAAGATTGAGATTCCTGAGTGGAAGTAGGAGTGTATTACTATGGACTTCGTTGTTGGACTCCTACGGACACGGAGGATATTTGATGCAGTGTGGTTTATTGTTGATAGGCTGACCAAGTCAGCACATTTCATTTCGGTGGCAGTTTCCTATTTTTCTGAGAAGTTAGCTGAGATCTATATCTGGGAGATTGTTGTCTTCATGGTGTACCTGTGTCTATCAATTTGAATTGATGTACGCAGTTTACCTCACATTTCTGGAGAGCAATTCAGCGAGAGTTGGGCACACGAGTTGAGTTGAGCACAGCGTTTCATCCTGAGACTGACGGGCAGTCCGAGCGGACTATTCAGATTTTTGAGGATATGCTCTGAGCTTGTGTCATTGACTTTGGAGGCTCATGGGATCAATTTTTGCCTTTAGCAGAGTTTGCCTACAAAAACAGCTACCAGTTGAGTATCTAGATGGCTTCTTATGAGGCTTTGTATGGTAGACAGTGTTGGTCGCCGATTGGATGGTTTGAGCCGGGAGAGGCTCAGTTGTTGGGTACGGATCTGGTGCAAGATGCCTCAGACAAAATTCATTATGAATTTTTGAAAGAAGTTATTTTGCTGAATTAATTATGAAGTAAAGAAGAGAATTTATGTATGAAACCATTCGTATTGGGCACGTGTTTTGGTTTTGGATCTCGGTATAGGTCTTATATATGATTTGAGTCGAACTTGTGAAATTTGGTAAGAAACGGACTTGAAATGATATGAATCAAACCCTATTTGACAAAATTGAAAAATTTGATGTTCTTAAGAAAATTTCATGATTTTGATGCAAAATTCATAGTTGTTGATGTTATTTGGGAGATTTGAATGCACGAGCAAGTCCGTATGATATTTTTAGGTTGGTGTTCATGTTTGGTTTGGAGCCCCGAGGGCTCGGGTGAGTTTTGGATAGGCCACAGAGTAGAATTGGACTTGGGAAAAATGCAGGTTTCAGCTGTTCTATTGCAGGCCAACAGGCTTTGCATTTGCGAAGCCTGACTCACAAATGCGAGTTCGCAAATGCGAGGGCTGAGTCGCAAATGCGAACTAGCCCAGGCCAGCCTTCTCTCGCAAATGCGAGTTTTCCATCGCAAATGCGATGTTCCCCATTTTGGCCAATCGTCGTAAATGCGGCAGAATGTTCGCAAAAGCGACTTCGCAAATGCGAAGATCGCTTCGCAAATGCAATAGCAAC